GTGGAGAACCAGCCTTTTAATTTTTTTATGAACTAAGTATAGTGTTAATGTTTGTCACAAAGATATCGTTATAATTCAAACGAGACTGAAGACTTACAAATACAAAAAAAAGATTTAAAAATACCAAATTGGCTGTAATTCGTGGCTTACAGATCGTATTTAAATGAAACGCGTTTCGAGGAGTACAATCGTGTTCCCCAGGCGTCAGTACAGTTAGGGGTACCACGAAAGCATATTATGTAGATACTTCCAATATTGGCTGCGACTCAGGAGACTGCGAGCTGCCTATAGATTTCCAGCGAACGAAGAGCGAGAAGATACACAGTGCTGGATTTCTACGGGTGTTGCAATACACTTAACTCGATGTATATTTGCATGCAAGCACGCACCTTGTCCAAGGAGGGTTGCTTCGGCACAGGGAGAAACGCAGACAGAAAGAGAGGGAGTGAGACGTAAAAGACGGTAGAGGGTAGGGGGTAGGTGTGTGTGCCACGTGCTCGTTAATATTCATATAAGTCATGAAGCACGGCGTCGCACACTCGCGGACTTGTATAAAGTATTGGTAAATAAATCATAATGCGTTATTGCATATTTGAATATATTTGATGTGAGGTTTCCGGGACGTCGAGACGCGACGTGAGCATGTATGCGTATGCTCTCTTAATATGGAGAGGTGCTTCACATGATCACAGGATATCAATTCGAGAATTTGTAATAAGCCCAATCTTTGCCAATTTCGAGTTTTCTGTGTTGGAGAATGAATAAAATTTCTCGAAGGGTTTACACAGTTTCATTAATAAAAGATTTTTTTTAACGTGTTTCGCGTGTGCTGATATGATTATAATTGGAATGGTGTGTAACATGATTTCTTTACGAATTTTGATTGATTAAGCTGTTCTCGGTTTCATCATTTTGATTATTTAAAATATTTCAATACCAAAGACTATGTAATCGGTCTCGTATTGAAGGCGATGTCGGTGTTATCGATTCTACGCAATGTTTCGGTGATTCATTGCTGCCCCCCTCCCCTCCCCCCTTCCCTGAGCATCAACTGGGGTGCTGGGGAAGCCATTGTGAATCGAAAGTAACGCAATATACACCCTACCTATAACGAAGCAACGGAGTGTAGGTGATATCGATGCTTTAAAATACATATCTGCATATACGTAGCTATCGGTTCCCCTTCTTTCTGTCCACCTCCATCCTCCCTTTTTTTTCGAAGGATAAGGGCATCGTACTTAATGAGTCGGGGAGAGTTGGCCCGCAACCCTGGTTGCGGATCAACCCCCATCGCAGTGGAGAAGCTCGGCACCCCGGGGACGTTCCCAACCTTATTTTGATGTCTCCGTCTCTTTCGTTCCTTTCATTGCCGAGGCACTGTAACATTGGCTGATTTATCGGCATTCTTCGAATCATTGCGGTAACGAGGCTGTATTCCCGTGTTCAATTCTTAGGAAGGCAGTCACGCGCCCAACGCTTGAATTATGTCTTTCTCCTACGTTATAAATTATTAACTGATAATGAGTATACTTTATTATTTTTAAAATTAGCTTCAGAGTACAAGAGGCAATCTGTAGTAGAAAGTAATTTGATGAAATCATGTGACGAATATAAATTTTAAAATCAACTATAGAATTATGAAATCCCCATATGTATTGTTGAAACTTATTTTATTATTCGTCTTTAAATGTGTTATAAGTAATCATTATATTATATCGATTGGTTTATTACAGAGCCGGTGTCAACCGTGAGTGTTCCCCCAACTAGTGTAAATCTCGAGTCACTGGTTGAGCGGTGGAAGATGCTATGATACGGGGGCAGGTGTCGCGGTAAACTCAGTTAATTAGACAAGAGGCAACCATCGCCACCCCTCGACACCCCCGAGGCTTGTTAATAACGCGTAATTACCATTATACACGGCGATACACTCTTCCAAGCCCACGTTGGCGACCCCATTAGATAAGACGACACCTTATTATACGCGAACTAACGCCACTGTATCGTGCAACCACAAAACTTCGAAGTGTAGTGCCTCGACGTGGGATCCGAGATGGAGGATCCTCATTTTCTTCTTCGCACTGAACGGGAATGATAAGCTGATGGAGGAGATCAAGGTAATTAAATCAGCTTTACTTATCCAAACATATTAACCATGTCTAGTGTTGTACGGATTTAATCAATGAAAAGCTTGACAGTCAGTTTCGTAGTTGCTGTAAAAATATGAATACACGTGCATTGCAAAATTTCTTACAATACAAACTGTCTTATAATTAGGAATACTTAGCGTATAATAAAGAGTGTTATGAACTATTATTTAAAATTAGTTATAATAACTACCAGCTATGAACATATTCAGACGTCATCACCTTGTGCTTAAAATTGCACGGGGCAATATAAAAATGCACGTTCTTTTTCAAAGTTCTCTCATTGTTAAACGATCCTTCCGGTTGGTCGCAGCGGGGAGCAAAAGGACTTCGGTGCGTTTAGAGTCAAATCAACAACGCATACTGGTGTTTAGCGCTTAATTATGAGACTACACAGACAGACCTTGAATCCCTCCTTGTATGAACTTCTGAAGCGTAGCGCCGCTAGAAGCTTCTTTCACGATTTATGTCATAATCACCTGAAAGATAGGGCCCGAAGAACGCGCGGCGCGACGCGACGCGGTGTTCCCCTTGGCTCTCGGAGTTCCTCTTCAACCGGAGTTCATTCTTTCTTGAACGAGGAAGCCTGGAGTCGCGCGAGCTGGAGCATAAAATGCATTTAGGGGTAATGCGACGTGTATCGCGCGCGCGGGCCGCTTTCAATGCCGCCTGGAGAAACGCGAAACGAGCTGTACACCGTGTAACCGCGCTGGACCCACCGTGTGTATGAACCCTGAACGTTAAATGTTAAATGCCAGGCCATTCAGTATTATCCTTTTTTTCGACGCAGTCGGGGCCCCTCTCGGTTCGTGAAAAAAACCGCGTATCAACCGTATGGTCTATGCTCCTCGCTTCGCCTACGACGACTTTGGACATCACCGGTGCATGCCGTTTCCTCGCGTAAACGGTGCCCGTTTTCCGCGCTTGCCCCCTTTTTTTCTGACTGAGCAACAAAGAACATTAAAAGAGGGTGACGAGCTCCTTCACCGGACGCTCTGAGACACCATTATTTGCCCGTTGCATGAAAAAGCCGCGCGTCAGAGACATCGGCTTTGACGTTCATTTTTCCATTTTACCATTTTTGTTCGCCAGCTAAGATTCCACTGGTTTAAGCTCCGCATCGGCGCGCTCTATTCTTTCTGCGTTCGCTGCTTACCGTTTGGCGCCACCGTAGATTCTCGAGAAATTTTCGCTCGCAAGCTCCTATTTATTGTTTAATCTCCTGTCAACGTCGGGGTACTGAATGCAGTTCTATGCTAAGTTAATGAGGACGAAAAATTTTCGTTAGTTATCTTTATTTTCAAACTGGAGCTTTCGATACTTGTCCAATTTGAGATTCATCCAGTTTCTACCCCGCAAACATCATCGTATGAATATGAATATACAAGGTGGGAAGAGAGTGTGTTGAAAACGACGCCGAGATGACGTTGCCAACTATACCAAGATGTCTCGGTCTCGCATTAGAATCCAAATGATCCCATTACGAGAACAACGATAAAACTAACAAAGACGGAGCCGCGATGCCCCGCCACGGAGACTCGTTTCTGAAGTTAAAATTGAGGAGTATCCCGGCCAAGACGGTTGCGTCTCCTTGCACATCGAAGTGCTACAAGAACGGGGCCCTGTCTGCAATTTTCATTATTTTTATTCGAGAATTTTTCTTACCTTCCTTCCCGCGGCGTACCTCCGCTCGAACCTACGGTTAAACCCCAGTCGGAAGTGGAAGATACACCCTTCACGCGATCATCCCAACTCCCTCGCTTTTCTTTTAGAATTCCAGAAACTTGAACATTGTTTTACTAATACATCTGAAGGTGTAGAAAATATTTTTCAAGATACTGAAGAAAATATAAGCTTTCAGTTAGCACACATGTAGAAATGCACATTCAATAAGGAAATTCGTAACCAATAGGAGATTCTATGTTGGATTGGCGTTTTATTCGCATGTAATTAAAGACGAAGTGTTAAAAGACTAAAGCGCATGGCAGTTAACCCTTAACTTTCGCGACGTTCACATGAAACAGGGTTGTGGTTAATTTAAAAATCAGTCCAGGAGTAAAGTCGAGGCTAGCATAAAGCTAACTCGAACGGCCAGGAAGAATTAACGTGACTCCGACCGCGAATCAGGGAATTCCACCGCGCGAGGAGAGAGAGAGAGAGAGAGAGAGAGAGAGAGAGATCGGCCGACAGCCTCTGGCGGGTTTCGAGTAGGTACACAGAGGATGCGGAAAGGCGTCATCGTCCGTTAAGGTATAATTTACACCTAGCCCCGACCAGCCTCCGCTGAAGAGGAGTACATAGGTACCTACCGCTCGCTAGTCGGCCGCTATCGTGTACGTAGCTTTGCCGAGTACGACGCGATAGTATATGTGTGACGCGTACTCGGGGGCGTAGAAAATTTCATTCCTGCGGTTGGTTTCGTCCCGTGAACGAGTGCATCGCGGCGCGTGCATGTACGCGTGGAAATAATGTACGAGTGTGCCGTGAAACGAGTACGAATGCGAGTTACCGGTACCCGGGGTACCGACTCTCTTCGCATACGTGCTCCGCAGCAGCTCGTATACACTACGTTCTTCTCTTCTATAACCGCCCTCCGTCGCGACTCTCCTTCTCGCCATCCCGCCGCCACCCACCACGTCTCTCGATCTGCTCGCGTTCCCTCCCTCTCCTGCCCCTCGCACACACCCTTATTCTCGGCAGGAGCTCGGCACCAAGGCATTTAGAGACCTTTTCCCTGACTCATCAGCTTTGTGCTTTTGCCGCACCGCGGCATGTGCCAACGAGTAATAACGCAGCTTTTGCGCGCCTCAAAAACATGAATTTTCACTTCAACTTCCCGTTAACTGTGCCCTCGCGAACAGCTAAGTAGAAAGTTAATTTTTTAATTATCCCCGGCGATATCACCGCGGAGGATATTCCTTCCCCACTTACCATCTGGTTGTCGCGTCGGCGACTGGCTCGTGGCCTCGATGCGACTCGTTGGCCAATTGGGTACTTGGACCCCGCAAGGTGAGCCCGCGCGCGAGCTATCGTCCTCGGGGTTATGACGATCGTTCTGCTAACTCTCGGCTAATGTCACCTCGTAAATGCACTCGTATTCGTCCGCGACGCTGTCGATGTAGGCTTTGATTAAAAGGAAAGTTCTTTGCGTTCTAGTTCCCAGTTTAGAATTAACGAATTCTTCGACAGTTACGTCGCTCAACTTTTACGTTTACATTTCAAGTACAATTAGTCGCAATGGAAGATATTCTTATTATGTTATGTCTTTGAATATCTCTGGTGCCTGGTACATATCTTCTCATGTGCAGCTCTAGACTCCATGAAATTATTATAACAGAGCTATAAACAATGTCAGTTAAAAAATGATATTACAATAATTTATGACTTGAAATTAATTAAGATTGATGTGATAAGACTTGAAGCAAAGATTTGCAAAGGGAAAATAATTGTTTTCCACAATAGATGACGAACGCTACCGCTAATTAAAAATCCCTTTCGTATTAATTAAACTGTTTTTGTATTATTGTAATTGAAGAGCTACGTCAGATAAAATATTTGCAAACTTTCTTCTACCCTTCGTTCGAAGACCACCTGTGAAGAACGAAGATCTGTCGCTGTGACGGGAAAAAGAAAAGGAGATTTACCGAGGAAGTGGACGATATCAACAACAAGTGCTTTCGCGGGAGCATTGTGTGTACAATGGGACTCCATAAATACGCAATAATTTTAATTAATTCCATGAGATTTTAATTAATTCCATAAAACGAGGAGATAGGTGCTGAGAATTCGTCGTTCGGTCAACAATTTCGCGAAACGTTTAATTCGCTGAAGTGAGAGACTTTATTAAATCCCCTTTCCTGAGCCTTAGGTAGAGACGAGCATATTTCAGATAGTATGCTTGGCGGGTTGTCGCAGGTAAAAAATCAGGGAACATGTGTATCGATATACGTCGACGAGTCTCCCGGTAAAAACACGCTGGTCGTTACAACGGCTACTTTGCCTGGACAAACAACACCGGCCTGTTAACACAAAAGAATCGCCGGTCTTTTTTCTCCTCATGCGTCGCCGTACCGAGAGGACCGGTGCGCGCGGCACGGCGTTGATACACACGTTGTAGAACGCGGGCGCGTTACGTTGACGATCCTGAAAACTAGCGACGACGATTTCGCGGCAAAAAAAGAACGAAGGGAGAGAGAAGAGGTAACAGGGAAGAGGCAGAAACGTCGACGCAGGTATATAAGGCCGTTTCGTCAGTCTCGTTGTCACGGTTGTCGCGGAATGAGAACGTACGACCAGCTCGTATTTTAATTCCGCGGACAGAGCCACCCCCTGGCTGGCCTGGCCCGCGGGCCACCCCTTTCTTCTTCGCGTCTCCTATGAGCCCTCGCTGTTGCTGGTTTCTAACGGCACGGCACGGCGTCGCGACGCCGCGCTGCGTTGACATTACTGAGCATAATATTTAATAATTATTTTCATTAAAGTCATAATAAAGTTTGGGATACTTTATTAATTTATAGGCCAGGGAACACGTTCAAAAGGGTGGCTTCCTGTGCTGCGTCTCGTGGCCATTCGTATTAATTATCGTCATTTCATATCGCGGGATTAAGGAAGTGAGACGAGTAAGCTCGGGAACGAACTTCTTCGGTTATCTAATCGACTCGCGATCCTCTTAGCATCTGCTTCGATATTCCGATCAAGCAGCGGGACGGAGTTTAATTAAAAAAATTGTTGGCTGTATCGTGGGCGCGCGCGGCACGGGATATAAGTTCTACGCATAGCATCCGCTAATTTATTTATCGGTTGAAGTTTGTGGCGTCGCGAGAAAGCACGGATAAAAAGTTAATTAACAGGGATTAATTACCTCAGTGACTCGATGTAATGCAAATGAATCGTGAGGAACTGCCCGTCAGAATCGTAAACATGTAAACGCGCGGGCGTAGGGAAAGCTATAGAGGTAACACAGGGGCATG